GTCCTGCGGTAGGTTCTGTGAGAGATGAACAGAATGAGGACCCAGGATCCAGTCGTAGAAGGGTCAACGCTGCAGCTGAGGTTTGAAGAGCACATTGTTCTCCTAGGGCAACCCAGACCTGAAGCTGGAGTCCCCTGGGGCCAAACAGGTACCTGCTGCCCAGGCGAGAAGCTGGCAAATCTTGGCCTCAAGGTAGCTGTAGAGGTTCTGCAAGGCAGGAGGAGGGGTCACAGGGCACTCTCCCAGATAGAGAGCACCTCCCTGCCAGGGGACTTCTTAAGCCCTCCTACAGCTGTGTAAGAGAGGAGGGACAACCAACTTACAGCTTCCCACCTTGTCTGCTCTGTTGTCACAGCTGCAGCGCCCTACAGAGTTAATGTCCTAACGTTTGTCATTTAAATCCCTCACTCAACAAAATAAAATGCAAAATTTCTGTCATGGAAAACTCATACTTTTGGCCATCGACAGGTATGTGTAGAGGGGGTGAAAAGGAAGCCAAGTCGCATGCTGTCAGCCCCACGCTGTCACTTCCTGCAGACTCAGGGGGTGGGATAGGGTGGGGGTCCGGGGAGCTAGAAAGCTGACAGGTGTTGGAGATGTTCATCTTCGCCCTGTCCCTGGGAGGTTTTCTTCTGTACAGCCACGTGGGGACCTGAGGAAGGATGCAGCCCTCCCTGGTTGCTTCCACAGCCGTTGGTAACAGGATGTGCACTGCCCCCGCCATGTTCTTGTATTGCACAGGTAAACCCACCCACTGCACAGGTGTGCACTGGCCCCTGTTCTTGTAGTCACGGGTAGTGACCCACCCCCTGGTCCCATGCTTTGGGAACCGCTGGCCATCGTAACCTTGGCAGCCATATTCTTTCCAGTGCTGTGAATTAGAACGGACTATTGGATCACTGCCCAGGGCCTGCCAGGACCCAGCCTCTATGGACGTCCTGAGAGGTGCTGGGCACAGCCACAGTGCCCCTAGCGTGGCTCAGTGGGCGGAGCTGTGGAGAATGGCTGACACACTCTGATGCAGCTCTTCACAACACAGCCCTGTGTCTCCTAGCCCTATGACCATCTGAAGGAGGTCACATGAGCTGCGAGCCCCAGTGTCCTTCAGCCGACTCTCTCAATGTTGTAAGAATGAACCAGAAACGGATTCCCTCTGCTGCTGATTCTTGCTGCTCTCACAGAATTCACTCCTCAAACCGTTTATCTTCTAAACAACCTTCACATAGAATGGAAGGATCTGGAATTAAGCCTGGAGGTGGAGAGGGTGGCAGTGAAATGATTCTGAAGGAGTTTGAGGAGCTATATGTTCCTATGTCCCCACTCAACCTCATCTGAGGCTAGAGAATCTCCACGAACCAGGGAGGGGGCAGGGTTATACTAAGGGAGAAGCCAGGCCCTGGAATGCCCTGGACCATTTTCCACCACTGGTCAAATACTTGATAAGGAACAGATATTTATTTAGCTCACTGGTCTAGAGGCTGAAAGTGCCCACAGATGCCACCAGTTTTGGCATATTACCTCCTTGCTGGCGACACCACTGAGTTCACACAGCAAGACTGGAAGCCTGAGAGCTGGAAGGAGCTGGTCTTACTCTTCCATAACAACCTCCTATAAAGGACTGACCGAGGTCGCACGAGAGTTAGGCCATGGCAGCATGTCCACCCACCTCTTAGTGCTCCCATCACCTACCACACCGAGTACCAACCTCCAGCACACAAGGCTTGGGGGCCACATCCAAACCTCCACAACAGATGGTGGGCCATCCACCTCCTACCCCTTCTCAGTCCAGCTAAACTCACTAGGCCCTTAGGGGGGTGCAGAAACCCCAGCTCCCAGCCTGCTACATACACACCATTGACTGAGGCCCATGTCACAACCTTAACAGACAGAAAAGATGAAACACAGATAGATATACACTTGTGAGCACCGGGCAGAGTCTCAGCCCTGGTGCTAGGGAGGACATGAGATGCCAACGGTGAACTTGGGAGCCATAGCTTCCCAGTCTCCAGCCTGGTACAACTGAGCTGCCTCCCTGTGCCTCGATTTCCTCATCTGTAAAATAGCGACAATGTAGTGAGTCATGCAGAAAACCGACTCACACAGTTTGCTCAGAGGGAGCCTACAGCTGGTGGTGTGTGGTCTCTAAGGGCTCCTGGCTGTCTTTCCAACCTTGTATAGAAGTACAGGCTTTCCTGAAGGTGAAATCGGGAAGGTGGTCTTTCGCGCTCTGATAAGAAGTCAGCACCACCCTCCGTACCCACAGGAGACTGGCCCCAGGATCTTCACAAATACCCAAATTCTCCTTACACCCCCTCCTGTGTACTCTGACCTTCTCTTGCGGGTTTATAATCCCCGGTGCTGCGTAGCTGCTGCATAGGTGACCGCTCTACTGTGTCATTTGGGGGACAGTGACAAGGAAACAGACTGCAGCTCCTCTATGGGGGAGCTTTTTTTTTTTTTAAGTACTTTCTATTTGCAGTTGGTTGAGTCCAGAGCAGCAGATCCCACAGGGCTAGAGGGTGACTGAGCAGCATGTGACCTGGATTAGCAGTTCTTAACCTCCCTGCACATTCCAGTCTGTCTGGGGAGGACAATCCCTCAGGAAGGCAGCCCCTGGCCAGCTGCTTCAGACTCCCTGGAGGTGAAATCCTGTGACTGAAACCTGAAGGACAAGCTTGAGGTCAAACCAAGGGCTGAAATCCAGCCCCTACGGCTATCAACGTGGCCTTGGGCCAGTCACCCACCCAGACCAAGCCTTGGTCTCTGTTGCCAAAAAGCAGCAGGGAATCCACGTCCTCCCAGTGAGGACACAGAAATTCAGAGACTGCTGCAAAGAGCAGAGCCCCTGGACAGGTTGATATTTACAATGTAACACTCAACCTCGGCAAAGACACTGAGCCTCAAGACCCAAGTATTTTCTTCTGCAGTTATTTTGGTGCGTTTGCTTGGGTGTTTGCTAAGCCTCACCTTACCATAGGAAAACTGTAAGAGTGCCAGGCACAGCTGCTTAACAAATATCGTGAAGTTATTCAAAGCAGGCCTCGCCTGCAAACCCGGATGCTTTTCTGGCTTGGTCTTCCACTGTTATTTTTGGAAGAAGGAGGGAGTCTTTGAATGGAACCGGGCACGAGCCCAGATGGAGAGGGAGATAACCTTTAAGAGACACCCCTTTCCAGGAGCAGCTGCTAGCCTGTTTGGGGGATGCTCCTTTAGACCCTGCAAACCTACCCTGGCTGCAGAGACTCTCAGCTCATAATCCTTCAGTGCCTATGGGAGGAGGAATAGACTCAGGAAAGCTGGATTCCAAGTTTATTAGCGATGCGGCTGGAACAGCTGCTTCGACCTCCGCGAGCCTCAGAGGCCTTCTGTACTCGTGGTCACTGCTACTCATTCACCTCACTTGCTCCCGTTGTGGCTTCGGGGAGGCCCTGAGTCCCTTTCCTGTGTCCCTCACACATCACCACAGATTGGGTGTTTATTATCATGTGGTTCTGAGGCTGGACGTTTAAGCTGAAGTCCTGGGCAGCTCCAGAGTGGCTCCCTCGCTCCTCTGGCAGCCACGATGACTGCTGACATTACTTGACTTGTGACTGCAGGGCTCCAAGCTCTGCCTGCAGCCATTGCCCCTTCTCTCCTCTTGTCTTCTCTGGGATGTGAGGAATCACCCAGAAAATCCTGGATGGTCTCATTCCCAGACCTGTCTTACTCTATCTTCTGTTGTTATAACTGGATTCCAGAGACTGACTGTTTTATAAAGAAGAGAAGGACTTTTATTTAGCTTCCTGTTCTGGAGTCTGGAAAGTCCAGAAACACATCAGCCTGCGGGAAGGGGCTTGGACCGCATCACCCTCGTCACTAATCATAGTCACATTCCCATTGTATGTCTAAGCACTTTGGGACATCCACACTCAGGTTGAGTGTCCCCTGCCCAAAATGTCCGGCAAATTTTGATCTTGGATTTCTGGCTTTGGGGATATTTGCCTATGTGTTGAACTATCTCAGGAAAGGGGCCAACGTTTAAACATGAATTTGACTTTTTTCAAAATATACCTCACGCAGAGCTCAGAGTTGATTTTATCCAATTACTTTGCTGCACCTGTTTTGACTGAGACAGTCCAGGAAGTCAGGCGCGCTGGTCTCCATCTGTGAAGTGACGTCAATGCTCCTTTTGGGTTTGGGAGGATTTGGAGATTTGGGGGATTTGAGGCTTTCAATTTAGGATCACCTCATTTATAAGTTTACAAAAGACCCCTGAATGACTATGACTACAAATACAAAGAAACAAATGGCAGGAGAGAAGAGACAGGGAGTGTCAGAGCAAAAGGGAACCGCTGTAGTGTCCAGGGGTTCGACCCTGGCTGAAGCACCTCTTGGAAGGTGGGAAGCAGAGAGAAAAGGGGGTACAGGGCAGCTGTGCACACCTCATTTCCAGAGAGGACAGAGGCGAGCCTCCCGCCCAGCCCCCCATGGCTGTGCACCTCCCTCCCCCGGGGCCAACTGCTATGACCCACCCTCAGACACCTAGGCTAGTCTCCCATCTCATTCTCATCACAGTGACCACAGCACACACTTAACCGTTCTGCTGAGTTCAACTCCTGCACAGACCTCAGCCCTAGGCCCCCCTCCCACCCCAGGCCCCAAGGAAACCTTCCTCATTTGGCTCCTGCCCACTGCCTAAGTCCTCCTGATTGCTCTATGTACCCCGGCTTTTCCCCCAGCCCTCCCCTAGCTAAATCCACCCATCTCTTACCAACTAACAGATTTAGGGGAGAAACTAAATTCCAGCCACATCTGCTAAATGTGTTAATCAGTTCGTGTCAGTGTGACTGCAAAATAGCATGGTGGCAGGAGAGCATTGTGGAGGAAGGAGGGCATGGAGGATGGAGGAGGGCATGGGGGAGGGAGGAGGGCATGGGGGAGGGAGGAGGGCATGGTGCCAAGAAGGCAGGGGGCACCAGATTAATATACCTAGGCATCTTCTTTGTTTCTGTGTTGGGCACGCTACAAACAGGAATCGGTGGCACCTGCTCTTCAATTGAACTAAACCTACTTTTCTCAGGAAAGTGAAAAACAAGATCGATTTTGAGAGCACAGTGCCCGTGAGATTTTAAAAGGCACAAATTGTCCTAAGTCAGCACAGGTGTCCTTGTAATGGGGACAGAGGGACAGTAGCATTTCTCCATCTGTCCGTGAGCAGAAGTCGCCTGGGACCTACGAAATGAGACGCAGATTCTGGTGCCACGGGTCTCCGGTAGGGCCTGAAATTCTGCATTGCTGTTTTGTTTGGTTTTTTGAGACAGGGTTTCTCTGTGTAGCTTTCCTGGCTGTTCTGAAACTCGCTCTGCATTTCTCACAAGCTTAGTCAACATTGCATGCCCCTGGAGTAGCAGGGCTCCATGACATTCCTGACACATGAGAGTGTCCCACAGCCCAGGTTAGGCACGTGCAGAGGGGATGCCCCACCCATCCTGCCGAATGGAAATCTCCTGTCATTCGAGTGTTGTCAGGGAGCACTAGCAGTAGACAGTCCCCTTGGTACGCATCTCTCCTCAGGTTGGGTCAAGAAAAGGGAATTATGATCGACAAGGGAAGCCTAGGGAGGAGTGGGGTGGGGTGGGGTGAGGGTGGGTGCAGGGCTTAGGTATTTTAGCCTTTGTAGAAGTTTTCTCCCTGACCCAGAACAAATCATTTCACCAGGACTAAGAGGGTAAGCTCAGGAGGGACCAAAAGGCTCAGGTTGTGAATGACACCCTCACTCACAGACTCTCACTTGGAAATTGGCCGCTGCCTGTGTTTGTGTTCAAGCTGTGTTTCCAGCAGGATTTTTGCCAGCACAGAAGGAACACCCTTTGCCTCTGCAGGTCGGGAATCTCAGAGGGGGCAGAAACAACTGGAGAAGGAAAAGCAGATCTTGGGAGCACCTCACCCTGGACCTGCAAGCAAGAAGTGCAGATGGGAACACAGGCTCCCCTGGTTTGCTCCCCATTCTGGCCAGCTGGTGAGACAGGATTCTCAGAGATCCCCACCCATCTAAACCCACCAGCCTTGGTGACACAGCACTGCCTGTGTGGGGTGGAGGCAACTGGTGCTATGAGCTGCAAGCATGGTCCCTCCTTTCTGCCACAGCCCCTCTCCTGATACCTCCCCAATGTACTGTTTATCAGAGTCAGGAAGAAGAGAGAGGTCCCCCTCCCAAGTTTGGCAACTGTTCGATGATGGTATACTTAAATAATGAAAGGTTTGGGATGTGGAGTTCAGCAGGGATCCTGAGACAGATTACTGAGGAGCAAAGTGTTTATCCGAAGCATATTTTTAACTCCATGGGCAGACAAAGATGCAACATGGAAGGCCTCTTGAAGAAAAGATCAGAATTCTCTGCTGTGTAGCAGCTTCCTGCTTAGACTGGATTGGTGGGAACCGAAGTTGTTTATTCTTTTTTTTTTTTTAATTTTTATTGAGCTCTACATTTTCCTCTGCTCCCCTCTCTACCTCTCCCCTTATCCCTTCAACCCTCCTCCAAGGTCTCCATGCTCCCAATTTACTCAGGAGATCTTGCCTTTTTCTACTTCCCATGTAGATTAGATCTATGTAAGTCTCTCTTAGGGTGCTCTAGGATTGTGATTTGTGGGCTGGTTTTCTTTGTTTTATGTTTAAAAACCACCTATGAGTGAGTACATGTGATAATGATAATTGTCTTTCTGTGTCTGGGTTACCTCACTAAAAATAATGTTTTCTAGCTCCATCCATTTTCCTGTAAAATTCAAGATGATGTTATTTTTTTTCTGCTGTGTAGTACTTCATTGTGTAAATGTTTCCTTATCCATTCTTTGGTCAAGGGGAATTTAGGTTGTTTCCAGGTTCTGGCTATGACAAACAAAGCTGCTGTGAATATAGTTGAGTACATGTCTTTGTGACACGATTGAGCATCCTTTGGATATATACCCAAAATTGGTATTGCTGGGTCTTAAGGAAGGTTGTTTCCTAATTTTCTGAGAAATCACCACACTGACATCCAAGGGAGTTGTACCAGCTTGCATTCTCACCAGCAATGCAGAAGTGTTCCCTTTACCCCACAACCTCTCCAGCATAAGTTGTCATCAGTGTTTTTGATCTTGGCCGTTCTTACAGATGTAAGATGGAATCTCAGAGTTGTTTTGATTTGCATTTCTCTGATGACTAAGGATGTTGAGCATTTCCTTAAGGGTCTTTTAGCCATTTTAGATTCCTCTGTTGAGAGTTCTCTGTTTAGGTCTGGTCCTCTTTCTCCACACAGCAGGCTCTTTACCGACAGAGCCATCTCCTCAATGACCAAACCCTCCACGGCTCAGAATCTTCTCTGGCATTCCACATTACTATGAAAACAGCATCTACACTTTCGCCCCACCACACAGTTCCATGTACTGAATTGTGTCTCTGGCCGAACTCCTGTGTTGAAGCCCTAATCTCCAGTGTGATTGTATTTAGAAACACCCTTAAAGGAAGCAGCTATAGTTAGATGAGGTTGTGGGGATGTGACATTAATCTGATGGTAGTCAAGACTTTATCAGAAAAGACACCATTGCATTCTCTCTCCCCCTCCCTCTCTCTCCCTTTATATAAAACCTCCTCAAGGAGGTCAAAGACCAAATGATCGTTTCTTCCTGAATCTTACATAACCAGCTGTTCACATCACTGCACAACAGATGGTTCAACGCATGTGGAGTGGCTGAGCAATCAGTAGGCCTTATTCAAGCTTTTGACACGGGAGGATATGTATACACATGTGCATACATGTGGCACAAACACCTGTCTGCATAGAGCTGTAGTTTGGGTGTTGACTGTCCCATAGAAGCTCCCCAGGCTGGCACTGTTGAGAGGAATGGAAACTTAGGGTGACTTTGGGGGCATGACCTTGGATGCTGTGAGATCTCCAACCCTTTCTCTTCTTTTTTTTTTTTTTTTTTTTGTTTGTTTGTTTCTCAGCAACAAGGTTGAATGGTTTGCCTCTGCCACATTCTCCTACCTTGGTGTATTACCTCACCTGACGCAAAAGCAGTGAAACCAATGGATCATGGACGCTAATCTGGCTCTAAGTGCAAGCCAAAATAAACCTTTTCTCTTTACAAGTTCATTGTCTAAGGAAATGTTTTATAATACTGGAATACTTCCTGATATATACATGCAGATGCATTCACCTCTTTATCTATATCAACATCTTCAACTGCTTGTTTCTGGCTCTGTCTGAGGAACCCGAGTAGCAAAGCTGTGTTGTGTTTGAAGACACACACCCAGGGTCATACAACTCCCTGTCAGAGACCAGATTTCTAATTGTGCCAGGCGGCTTTGATGGTTAGTTTCGGTTGTCAACTCAACACAATCTAGACTCAGCTGGGAAACAGCCCTTTGGCCATGTCTAGGGGGACATTTGTTGATTACATTAGTTGAGATAGGGAAGACCTGCCCACCGTGGGCAGCACCATTCCCTAGGAAGGGGGATTCTGAACTGTATGCCAGTGAAGAAAACGAGTCAATCACTAGTGTTCCTTTCCTCTCTTCTCTTGGCTGTGGTCGGCTGCTTGAGTGTCTGCTGCCTTGACTTTTCATTGAGGGACTTTATCCTGGAACTGTAAGCTAAAAAAAACCTTTCTCCCGTAAGCTGAATTTGTGGGGAATTTTATCAAAGCAACAGAAGAAAACAAACAATCTCCTCTTGGAATTTTAGGTATTAACCATAGATAGGAGCCCAAGAATTTTAGAGATTTTTTTTTGTCCAGAAACCACAAAAATTGTGCCACTGCTCTTCCGCTGGTGATGTCTTAGGGCAGACATCACTAATAGATCCCAGAACTGTCCTCCCACTGTATGTCCAAGTCCTTCTTAATTTTTTACGAAATCTCAGCTACTCCAGTGAAGTGACCCGTCTTCCCAGAGACGGCTCAGTCTAATCAGGTTTGCACTGATAGTCTAAACCAAGAGTAATGGTTTTGTTTTGTTTTTCTCAAATTATAGAGCATGCCACCAGGACTGGATGCCCAGTTTGTGTTCAGATATGATCGTTAAACTGGAGGAAACTCAGCCATCACTCTCAATATTAAGTTGGACCAGAAGTTGGTAGGTTCTGACCTTCTGTTACTTCTGACTATTTTGAGAGATTGTAATCTTTTAAGCCAAAATTGATAAAATGAGGGACGGGAATTGGATGAATACCAGCTGCTATTAAGGTGACAAATAGAAGCAACTGTAGTCGGGAGACCAAGGGGCAATCCCTGACTCTGGGATCAAGAGATAATTACAAAAAATAGAAATGGAGCCACAGTCTAAGTGGTGGGAAGTGAGGGGGTGGCAGCGACGCGTCACAACCAGTAAGTACTAAAGGAACTGGTGCCCCCTCCAAGAGCTATGCCCACTTTTATATCTGCAAACACAACCCCAGTAACTCAGGTGAGGCAACCTCCCAAGCCTCAACATGGAATCGAATCCTGACTGTCTAAGCCAAACATGTAATCTCTTCACACTGAATGAGAAAAAGGTGTGTCCTCCTGCGGAATTCTGGGCAGTCACTCCACTTGCAAAAGGAAAGGTATCAAAAAGCCATTGTTGTCACACGCAATCAAGAGCATCCAGGCTGCCATGGACGGCGCCTCCCCCACCCCCAACCACAGATGGCGGTGGGCAAGGGAAAGCTCCAGCATTTCCCACCTCTTAGGTGTCACTCTGACTCTTCCCGTTGTGTGGGGGAAAGAACTGGACTCTTACACAGAGGCCTCCACCTCCACCCGAATGTATTCCTGGTATATGAGGCCACATCTAGCAAGGCTTTGTTTTCTTTAATGTGAATGCGTCCCCTGAGTTGAAAAAAAAATCTCTCTCTTCTTCCAAGAACGTGGCAGTGTGTTATTATGGAAGAACAGATGTTAAGATGTTAAGAATAGATATCTAGTATAGGAATGAAATTCAGAACAACTGAGAAGGGAAGGAGGGGGTGCTGAGGGCAAGCTCACTATGATGCAGGACTGCAGGGCCAGAGGGAGGAGCAGGGAAGGGATGCGGGTGGAACACCCAGGGCCTCCAGGCTGTCTCTGTGGGGTCATAGGGTTCATCCTTTGGCTAAAGTCTATTAGCACTAAGGGCAGATCTGTTCTGCTGGGATAGCTGGACAGTGGCGCTACCAAGTCCACTCAGGGTAGGAGCAACACAGGGGGAGGGGAAGGCCTCTCTCTGGAGACAGTAGGACCAGTCATTTCCTCATCTTTGCTTTGGAACCCTCGGAGGTAACTGAGAAAACATGTTCCCAGAGTGGCAGGGACGGAGGCAGGAGGGCCTGGCAGGGGTGCAAAGGCTGTTCCTACCCTGCCCTGCTCCACAGGGCATGGCTTGAAGTAAGCCCCTTTCAGCAGAGCCAGCTCAGCCTACCCATACTTCACTGGGGCAAGCACGCTGTTGCTGACAACTGGGGAGCGAAGACAGAGCCGGTTCATTTGACAGCACTTATATGGCACGGGCCATGTCGGCATATGAAAAGCTGGGCTTCCGGGGCATAGGGCTTCAAGAGCTATCTATGCCTAGGTCCTGGTGCACTCTCCACGGTACCAGCTCTGTGCTTCGGACCAAGATGACCTTTTTTTTACCTGGTTCCCACAAACCAGGAAGGACCCAGCTGGCCTGCGTGACTCTGCAAAACCTTACAATGTAGACCAGATGGCTATTGGCTGATTTATCCATGTCTAGCAACACAGCACTGCCAGCAGGAGCCAGGCCCCAGGTCCCTACTCCCTGCTCGCTCCGCCTCAGCACACAGAGATATAGTGTGGTGAGCAGAATACCAGGGAGACAGAGAACACCAGGGGCAGCTCCCCATCCTTTAGAGGCCTCGCTTCACCCTCACAACCTCTCCACGGGCTGGACGTTTCTCAGTTTTACAGAAACCAGAGCGGCTTCACCAGCTTCATGCCCTGCACTTGTAATGACCACTCCATCAGCAAGAACAAGGGGTGGGGTGGGAGATGTGAGTCTTCTCCCTGTGAGAACGGAAGGCAGACCTCATCGGTCACGTGGCCACTGGGTTCAAAGGAAGACCAAAAAATGGAAACTCTGTGGGCATGTGCCATGCAGTTGGTTAAATCCCCACTTGCTGGGGTGAAGGCCCTTCCAGACCGCTGCGATGATTTGAATCACCATTGCAGATGCACCGCGCCATGACCTGTGCCAGCACAGCCATCTCAAGACTCAGTTTACCCTCGCTGAGAAGATGTTCCTGCTTCTCCACGTAACTGGGTTCAACAGCCCCTCCCTCATGGGACTGCTGGGATTTCTTCTATGTCAGCTTATTTTACATTACTCTAGGATGTTTTCAGAGTCCCCCACACTCTTACAAGGATAGTTTGTTTAGCCCGTACAGTATTTAAAAAAGAAAAGAGGCGCAAACTTCTACCCATGGGCTGGGAAGATAGCCCCGTTTGCAATGTGCCTTACACACATGAAGATTTGATCCCAGAATCCACACTGAGAAGGCCAGGCATGATGATGTCGGGTTCCAGCGCTGGGCAGGTGGAGACAGAAAGGCTGTTGGGGCTCTCTGGCCAGCCTAGTTGAAAGAGCAATCTCCAGGCTAGTGAGAGACCCTGTGTCGATGTAAACAAACAAACAAGCAAATCAAATAAACAAACAAGGTGGTTGGGAGCCAACAAGGTGGCTCTGGGTAAAGATCCCTGCTGTTCAAGCCTGAGATACTGAGTTTGATCCCCAGAACCCATGTAAAGGTAGAAGGAAAGGATCAACTCTACAAAACTGCCCTCAGACCCCCACATGCACGCTATGGCATGCATACCCACACATGCACACATATATTAATAATAGATTTTTTAAAAATTAATGGTGAATGGTACCTGAGAAATGATACCCGGAGTTGACCTCTGGCCTCTATGTACACTTACACACTTGTGCAGCTATGCTTTTCTTGTACACCTTCACACACACATACACACACACACACACAATTATATGACTGTACTTAAAAACCTCAGGTAAACCCCAGAGTCACTCTGGCATAGTAACAGCCAGCTGAGGCTAAGCCGCGCGTTAATCCTGGACAGCATGCACACCCCATTGCCATGGTATCTGCCACCCCCTGGAGTCTCACATCCTTCATACTTCCTGTTTCTTCTGTCTGCCTAGTCCCAGGAGGGCTCCCCATAGCAGCTCCCCTCAACCAGGCTTCGCTGAGAGCAGTGTGAGCCTCACCTGGGTGCGCTTGGCACACAGTGGGTGTGCAGAAGCCTTGGGTGTGAGAGCTGCAGCTGCGCACGGCAGGAAAGGAATTAAGGATTCTAAAGAGGTGCTTGCATCCTCCCTTTGGGTACCAGGCCCTTGCAACAACACTCCCTAAGAAATTGCAGTTTCCCCAGGAGTCGTCTGGAGGAAGGAAGAAGCTGATGTCAGTGCTGGCCAGAGGGGGAACTTGTTACCACAGAAGGACTCCACTCGGTTCTGACAAACGCCAGTACATTTTGCAAGGCCAGAGACCAGACACTGATTGGCCATAATGGGTGGGAGTCCACTTGTCTGGGATTTCATACCTCTTGTCCTCTATTCAATCTTCAACATCTCGCAGGGACCCAAAGGTGGACTTGGTAGAGGCAGTCACTGTCCCTCTTCTAATGTGGCCACTTCTTTCCTGTCACCTATCTGTTTGACTTTGGGTCTATTGAGGACAGGTAGCTGAGCCAGCACATTGGGGTTGCCAGGATCCAGGCTCTGACCCTGACTGCTCCAGTAACAATGGGGCCTTCTGGGCTGGCAGAATTTATCCAGACAAATGCCAGGCTGAAGAGAATTCCCAACCCCCAGATCCCCAAAATATGGGAACCACTTTGCTGACCACCAAAGGACCCCACGTGGAAGGCAGCTGAAGTTGAAGGGGCTGCTTCAGATGATGCACGGGACCCTCCCTGTTAGAGAACTTAGAGGTAAGCTTAGGACCTTTGCCTGCTCAAGGCTGACCTCCATTGTGGAAAAGCCACTGAGAAAATGTAACAGGATCTACAGGCCTGGTTCACCTGGGGCCTTGGGGCTGAGGTTCCCATTTCAGGTGCTGACTGCCTAATGAGC